AGTTTGTTTGTTGTTGTGCATAACACACACTCTCTGTCTCTCTCTCTCTCACGCCTTGCCCTTGGAGTGCGTGTTCGAGTTTTTCGTGCGAGAGATCCCTGCGTTTCTAAGTCTTAAGCGCCAGATGGCACTGTGGCAGCTCTGTTCGGCTCCGCTCGGCTCCGCTCGGCTCCTTGGGCTCCACTACATACACTCTCGCCTCCACGCTCCAGCCCTCCACTCGCTCCACTCAGCTCAGCGCCCAGAGGGTGTGCATGACCTAGCTGAGCGCCACAAGCCCAGCTCGTCAGACCTGGCGCTTAAGACTTAGAAGTGCCTAAAAGGGATCTCCGAGTCTCCTCCCTGCTCCTACCTGACAAGGCTCAAGGCACAAGGGAGAGGGACAGCGGCAGGCTCGCAGCTCCTAGCGACCTTTCGGTTCATCACGGCAGTCTCTCCTGGTTTATCAGCAGCTTTTTCTTTTCCCGTGGTGTACCTGTGTTAGTGCCAGTGGAGTGCGCGCCAGTCGCAGTCCTGTGCCCAGACCCCAGTGCGCAGTGGTCCGTGAGAGGGAGGTGGCTTCGCTAAATAAATTATTTTCCTGTGCTTCTTAGATGCCAGTGCGCGCCAGTCCCGTGCCCGACAGCAACGGCGTCGTCCTCGGACCTCGCAACCCGCAACGGTGGAGTCACTTCTCGCAACCGGCACTTTGTTTTGAGAAGTTCCTCCGTCTCGGCCGCCTCCACTACGAGGACAACATCTCCTCGCCCGAGTAGCGAGTTCGTCCCGACCAGCGACCAGTTGCGCTGAGCCGCCGACATCTGGACGAAGGCTCGAAGGCTCTCGACAAGACGACCTCCCTCAAGCACCGAGCCAAGCTCGTCCGCTGATCTACTAGATCGGCTTCTCCCATGTGAGCCATGTTGTTCAATTGACATCCAGTCGACCGCTCCGATAGGCTACTCGAGTACTACCTTGAGCCCGGGAGACGGAAGGTCACTATGCTACGTTCACTACCTCGCGCCTCTGATCAGCGCGACGCCTGACCTTTGTTGTCTCACCTGCAGACAACGGGGGAGTGTGAGAGATAAGCATAAGGCCCGACTCAGGAGCTTTCACACGATCACACCTCTCCGATCCCAGACAGAGAGAGGAGACTTGCTTGTCCCAGAGAGTGTGTAGTTTCACCCCATCCCCAGGGCCTCCAGGGCTCGCACCTCAACCTCTCAACAGACCAGCGCAAAGCGCCATAGGACGTATTTTCTTCTCACTCAATAACAAGGCTGTGAACAGCTGAACAGTCCCATCCGTCGGGCCGAAGTCCTTCCCGGCTGTTTGCTTTGTGTGCAACCGCTCTTTTACATCGCTACATCCTCCCCGTTCACAGCCTTGTCAATGAGAACACCTCGAGAGAGGACACGTTGGCTCACACGGCAGCACTCTGCCAGGGGAGCAACAACTCTAACAAGCACGCCATCGGCCGCCGTGTGACACATGCGCTTGCTGCTTTGTGCCGGAGCGGTGGTGATGTTTTGTGCCCAGGTCGCGGCCATTCCGCGAGGCCGCCACTACCGCCTCAGACGCCGCCGCGGCCGGGCCAGGTGCGACGACTCCTGCGCCGCTGCTCTCGACGGCGTCTGCAGCGACGGCAGCAGTTTGTGGCGCAGTCCGCAGAGCCAGGAGCAGGTCCGAGTGCTCTGCGACCTCGGCACGGACTGCACAGACTGTGCGGGCGCCGGCGCCAGAGCAGGCGCGGCCGGGCTGCACCGCCTGGCCGCCGCCAGTGCCGCCTCGCTCAACGCCTCGAACACACTCCTCCTCCAAGAGAGGTCCGTCGAGGTCTTCGCGGCGTGGACCCGCACGCAGCCCGCCTTTCTGATGCCCTACACGACTGGGCGGGCCGACTTTGACGTCTCTGCCCACATGGAGCGCCACCGCGCCGTCGAGCCGCTGTACAATGTCTACTGGCGCCGGCTGACCGAGGCGTGCTGCGCCGACAACGGGCTCGTCATCGACGTGGGAGCAAACTTCGGGTACTACTCGCTGTACGCCGCCTCGCTCGGCTGCCGTGTCATCGCGTGGGAGCCGGTCCCCGTCTTCCGCGCCTTCCTCCGGATCGGCGTCGCCCTCAACAACCTCTCCCACCGAGTCGAGGTGCGCGAGTCGGTCGTGTCTGACGTCGCCGCGCAGCCCGTGGAGATGCGGGTGCCGGACCGTGGCATCTGGGGCACCGCGTCGGTGGGAGGGCTGAATGTCGACCCGGCGGTCAAGTCCAACACGTACACCGTCCACTCCACCACCGAGGCGCACCACCCCGCCGCCAGCCGACCGCAGCCTGGCCACGCCACGCCTCGCTGCGGGCCACGCCCCCTCACGCCCCCTCACGCCCCCGCCCCGCCCCGCCCCGCCAGGTGGTCGACGACGTCGTGCACGAGCAGCCGTGCGCGCTGAAGCTCGACGTTGAGGGGTACGAGCCGAAGGTGGTTGCCGGCATGAGGCGGCTGCTGCGCGAGGCGCCACCAAAGGCGAGCCGGCCTGCTGCTGTGTGTCTCCTCTCTCTCACGCCGGCTCACACGCTCACCCGCCCGGCACCGCCGCGCCCGAGGGGGTAGAGAGGCGACCGCCCAGCCGCGTCCGCAGGCGGTGCTCACCGAGTACTCCCCGGGCGTGGCGGAGCGGGCGCGCAGGCTCGTCGACTTGCGCGAGTTCGCGCACTCCCTCGAGGCCTTCGCCGCCGCCGGGCGAGGGGAGGAGCTGCCCGGCGCGGCATCTCGTCGGCCAGCCTCGGGTCATCCCGGCTCCTCGCGGTCCCTCTAGGTACAAGATGTACCACTTGCGGGGCGTGACCAAGTCGGGCGCTCTCAAAGGCAACTGGTCGCTGCTGCAGCTGCCACCGCTCGACGAGATCACGGCCGCCACCCTCGCGGCGGAGCGAAAGAATGCGGACAACGCCGCGCAAGACAGCCGCTCCGGCCACGAATACTCCGTGCCGTGGGACGTGCACCCCAGGTGGCGCCGCACCGCCGGGAGCACACTTCGCGCACCCGCCCCCGCACCCGTCCCCCGCACCCCGCACCCCGCACCCCGCACCCCGCACCCCGCCGCAGGTCGCTCCGCGCCGAGTTTGCGCACAACACGGACTTGCTGCTCGCCCTCGACCGCTCGGCCATCGCCACCGCGCGCGAGGTCGGCATCGACGCCGCCTCCGACCGCTTCGGGCTCGGCGGCGGCGACTGCCACGACACGATCCGCGACGGCAACCCCGCCGAGGTGATTGGGCGGCTGTGCATCGATCGGAATCGGACCATTGCCGAGGCCGTGGCCAAGGCGGAGCTGCCTCGCCCTCTGACGAGGCAGCAGCGGTCGCGCCACCAGCAGGTCAGCCGCCAGGCCCGCGGTTGGAGGCTGACGGGCTCGCCAGGCCAAAGGGGCCGAGAGATGGTGCGCCTCGCCGACTTTGAGGGTGGCGACATGAGACGGAGCGGGCGGAGAAGCTTGTCGCAGCTCAATCTGCTGTCCGAGCTGAAGGTGGGGCAGGTGCTAGAGGGATGAGAGAACAACGGAGGAGAACAAATTACGCCGGCGGGGTGCCGAAAATCGATGCCAAAATCTCGGTGCGTATGTGACATAATGAGTATGTGCCCGGGTCTGCCGGTGATCATGCTTTTTATAGAGTTGTATTCGTTGTGCTTTTTTTCAATATCTAGGCTCCTGAGTCGTCGTCCTCTGTGGGTGTGGCTCTGTGCGCGTGTGTGCGCCGCAGCCCCGCGCGCCGGCGCGGAGACTTTCTTTTCAGAGAGTTGTTTTGTTCTTCACAGCAAAGGAGAATAGACGGAGACCAAGACGTGTTATCAGAACTCTCACGGGACGTGCGAGTCAGGTCTAGGCGGCTCCCTCGTCATTGCCTGCCGCGGCCCGACGGCCACGACGCACCAGGGAGCCAAGAGGTGGTGCTGGTTCTCTTGGAACGCCGGGCACTCCGTGGATTCGGCGAGACGCACTCGAGACCCTCCAGGGCGTTGACGAGCGAGCCTTGCCTCTCCACCGCCACCCGGACCGCCATGCGCAGCGGCTCTGTGTTCGACCTCGCGGGTCCCTGCACCCACCCCTCGGCGAGCAAGGCGCGCGCTGTCGCACGCTTGCTCGGCTCTCTCATGAGCATCGCCTTGACGACCGCTTTGGCCTCGGAGGAGACCCCCGCCCAGCTGGCGTCGAATTTGTAGCGGCCGATGCGGTTGCGCTGGAGGACCTCCTCATCGTCGAGGCCCGGCGCAGCAAATGCCTCGCAGCCCGAGAGGAGCGCGTACAGCATCGCTCCAAGCGAGAAGACGTCCACGGAGGTGTCGTAGGGAAGGCCGGCGAGCACCTCGGGCGCCGTGTAGCCCGGTGTCCCCACGCACTCACACAGCTCATCGCCTGGCTCAGGCTGAGCCGCCAAGCCAAAGTCCGCGATGCGGATAGCCCCAACCTCGCCGTTGGCGCCGGCATCGACGAGCAGCACGTTCTCGGGCTTGAGGTCGCGGTGGACGATACCGCGGTCGTGCATGGTCGTGAGCGCCGAGAGCGCCTGCTGTAGCAGCCGGCTGACGTGCGCCTCGTTGTACTCGTCGTCGTCGAGCCGGCCGCCAGAGCTGAAGTGCGCGACGACGTGATCGTACAGCGTCCCGTAGGGCAGCAACTCCATCACCACCACCATCCGGCGAGGCTCGTCGTAAAAGTTGAAGACGGAGCAGATGTTGGGGTGGTAGTCAACCTGCCGCTGCAAATCTACCTCCTTCCTCAGCCGAGCCTTTGCGTTCCGCGAGAGCCCCACCTTGCTGATCAGCTTGGCCGCCATCCGCTCGCCCGACTGGAGGCACGTAACCGCATGGACCACCCCTTGACCTCCCTCGCCCAGCATGTCGCCGAGCTCGTACCGCTCCTCGAAATGGACTCGACTGCTCTCGAACGCATGCACCGCCGCCGACTTTCGGTGGCGGGAGAGGTGCGAGCGCCACAGGTCGCGGCTCCGACGGGCGCTGTCGGTGGCGCGCGCGCTCTCTGCGCCGCTAACAGAGGCTCGGTGCTGCGCGCTCTCGCGGGCGTTGACGAGCGCGGTGATGAGCAAGTTGCGCAGTGCGGTGGTGATCGCGGTCTGGCTCTCGCCAAAGTGGAGCAGCAGCTCGCGCTCCACGAGCGCGCCGCAGCAGATACTGCTTCCCGACCGGCCTCTACCAGTGATGCAGACGGCGAGGCCAAGTGGAGAGATGCCTGGGAAGGAGGTGGGCACGGCGCTGCCGACGCCACTGAGGTCAAAGTTCTCGGTGCCCGGCTCGGTGATGGAAGTTTCCTCCGCCTCGCGCGCCGCGTCGCGGTCTTGGAAGAAAACGAGCCGGTATGGCGTGATGACAACCCACCGCGAGCGCCACGTGCCGAGCCAGCGGCTCTTCTTGTGCACGTACCCCTCGAAGAGGACCCACTCGGAGCGCGAGGTGCGCAACGAGTTGAGGTCGTCGCTCGCCTCGCTGACTGAGTCGTTCACCGAGGCCGAGAGCCCGTCCGGCGAGTGCGAGTAGTGCGTCGAGTGCGAGCGATGCGAGTGGTGGTGGTGCGACTCGTGCTCGAGCGCAGCGAGGAAGACGTCGCTCGTGGCCGGCTGAGAAAAGTGGTGGAAGGAGATCTGCGTGGCTGATCGCAGCGCCTCGAGCGACGTCGCCGCGACGCAGTCCGTAAGCGTCACGACGTGCAGCCCCTTGTCGAAGGCGGTGCGCATAGTCGACTCAACACAGACGTTGGCGAGGAAGCCACATAGCCCAACGGTGCTGATGGAGTACTCCTGCAAGATTGCCTCGAGGTTGGTGCCCGTGAAGCAATCAAGGCCCTGTTTGTTCTGCAGCACCACATCCTACGACCCGGGGAGGGAGGGTGTACCGTGGTGCGGCAAAAGAAGGGTGTGATACGGCTGATGGCTCAAGCCTGGTCGTGCACCGGGACAGACATCTCGGCGCCCCATGAGCCGCGCAAGAAGAGGCCGCGATAGAGGCCGGTCATCATGCCAGCACGTGCGTCGGCAGAAGCGACCTTTGGGTCGACCACATTTGGACAGTGGATGATTAGCACACCTCGCTCGCGCGCGCCAGCGATAAGCTCAAGGCTTTTCTGAAGCATGCGCGTGGCCTCCAGCACGACTCGCACGGAGGCATACAGCCCGCCCCGCGGGTCCGTGAATTCATTCTGGTACTCAATCAGCAGCAGGGCAGTGGTCCGCCGCGAAATGTGAAGCTTTGGTGACATATTGTCCCTCGTTTACGCGGAGGGGCCGGCTGCGGTGGACGGTCTTCAAGACCTCCTTCGAAAAAAGATTCGTTTTCCCGATTGTTCTTCAGAAACTATGGAGAGTTCACGTCATGACGGTTAGCCGCTGTCATGACGGTTAGCCGCTGTCATGACAGCTGCCAGCTGTCATACAGCAAACGACAGCGACAGTGACACCTACCTGTCACCAGCTGTCACCAGCTGTCACCAGCTGTCACCAGCTGTCACCAGCTGTCGTTGCTGCTGTCGTTGCTGCTGTCGTTGCTGCTGTCGTAACCATCCCCGACTGGTCCAACTGTCACTGCTGCTGTAATTGCGCAGCTGTCATTCCTGCTGTCATTGCTGCTGTCATCGCTGTCGTTGCTGCTGCTGTGCTGTCATTGCTGCTGTCATTGCTGCTGTCATTGCTGCTGTCATTGCTGCTGTCATTGCTGCTGTCATGAGCACCCCCGCAGGACAGTGTGTGGTGCCACTAGCGAGAGAGACAGGACACTCAAGATATAGATGCATGCGCGCGAGACCGCTCACTCGCACGCCCGACGCCACATGAGAAACCCTCTCAACAGTAGCCACGCACGCTCAGCAGCAGCGGGCGTGAGTCGGAGAATCTGCAAAACCCTTGCCCTCCTTCCTCCAGCATGTGCCGTGATGGGCTCCAGCGCTGGTTCATCTGCCGCTCAAAAATCTCACGCGAGCGAACGGTGTCAATCCTCAGCCGCGAGGATTGGGACCTTGAAATCACGATCACAAGCAAACGCGCAGAGCATTGAGCAACACACCTCGGGTTGAACCTCTCAAGGTGCATGCTGTCACCGGCAGTCTGCATGTGGATCGTAGACGATGACTATGGCTGGAATAAGCTCAAGTTCGTTCACGAGGGCTATGGCTGCCTCACGGCTGTGCCTGTGGCGCTGCCTCGCTGTCGCTGTCGCTGTCGCTGTCGCTGTCGCTGTCGCTGTCGCTGTCGCTGTCACTCGCGGGGCCCCGCGCTGACATTGTCACCGCCTGTCGTTGGCATTCACTGGCTTCACTGTCACTGTCACTATGGCTGTCACTGTTCCTGGTGCCTTTCACTCCTCCTTGGCAGCTGGCTGTCACCAGCTGTCACCAGCTGTCACCAGCTGTCACCAGCTGTCACCAGCTGTCGTTGCTGCCGTCGTTGCTGCTGTCGTTTCGCAGCCGCTGTCATGACATATTGACCACGTCATGACGGTTAACAGCCGTTTTAACCGTCATGACGTGAACTCTCCATAGTCTCTCACCTTCCTACCTAACCTAACCTAACGCCAATCATCCGGCCCGCTGCACTTCTTAGCTCCCCGGCGGCCCTGGGTGTGCGGTTACCGACTGCACTCCAAGAGCAAGTGCTCCAACACCAAGTGCGGGTCCAAGCTCCAACTCCAAGCCGCAAGAGCGGTCCATCGTCCAACTCCAAGCACCAAAAAGGTTCGTTTGAAACTGTGAGGTGCGAAATCTCTGAGTCTGACCCTGTTCCCTGTGGGTGGTGGCGGCGTCAGATGTCTTCAGTTCCCCTGTGTCGCCCTCCTCTTCTTCTTTCGGATCGCTCGCGCCGCCTCTGGCTTGTGCGGAAGGGCGCCGCGAGCCGAGCCCTGCCGCCCCCCTGGCCCCTCCCCCGCTTCTTCCGTGCCCTCCTCGCTGCCGGCCCCCACCTCGTTCGCGCCCGCACGGAGCGAGCCGGCCGCCTCGAGCCTCTGCAGGAGCGCGCGGTGCGCCTCGAGGAGCCGCGCCACCTCCGCCGCCGCCGGGAGGGCAGCGCCGCCGCCGTCAGCCGTGTTGCCGTCGGCGTGCAGGCCCAGAGCCCGCAGCCACGCGTGCACTATCTCGCGCTCGGCGCGCCGCCACGCCTTGTGCTGCTCGTCGCTGAGCGCCAGCCGGTCCTGCACGAGCGGCAGCAGGCGCCCTCTTTCGTGGAGCAGGAGCAGCTCCGCGAGGGCGGGCGCCGAGTGCTGCACGCCGCCCCGCAGCGACACCCCGAGCAGCGGAGGAGCGGGCTCGCCGCGCTCGCCGCCCAGCGCCGCCGCCAGCCGTTCTTGCCACCGCCGAGGCACGCCCGACGGGCCGCCCACACACAACAGCAGGTCGCTCACGCCGCACCCTCGCAGCGACGCCGCCAGCGCGCCGGCGGCTGTTGTGTGCTCGAGTGGCGGCGCCGCGGCGTCCAGAAGCAGGGCAACGACGCGACCGCCGGCGGCGCGGGCCCTCACGGCCGCCGCCCACCCCGCCACCCACGCCCACATGCACTCGGGAGAGCCGTCGGGCGCAACCTCGAGCGGCGCGTGGGAGACGCCCGACGCCGCAGGCAGCTCGCCCGAGGCGGCGCGCAGCGCTGCGCCGATCACGACCGCCTCAGTGGCGCGCTTCGTGCCACGCTCACTCAGCCACCCGCCAAACTCGGCCAGGCTGTACCGGATCACTGCACGCGGAGAGACGAGCGCAAACTGAGCGACGGAGGGCCGGAAGAGAGCGCCCTCGGAGCAGCACATGCGCAGTGCCGTCTGCATGTTGTCCAGACGGCCACGCCACGCGTCGGCCACGCCACCGCACGCAGCACACAGCGCCGGCCCGCGCCCGCGCTCGTTGAGGTGCACGCCCGGAGAGCGCAAGCCGTCGCTGCCTCGCTGGTCCTCGGCGGTCTCGAGGTAGAGGACGTGCACGAGAGTGGCTGAGGAAGGCTTGTTCGACCGAGGAGGCCTGGAGCCTCGTTGCTTCCGCTTCATGGTGCAGTGGGGGAGGGGTCCGAGGGGGGGGGTGGTGCCGTGGGGAGACAGCGGGTCGGCCGGCGGACCGGAAGGCCGGGGCCGGAGGGCCCCGGGTGAGGCCTGGAGCCAACTGTCTGGGGTGGCGAGAGAGTCGAGCTGACTCGGCCTCTGCGAGTGGAATCGGGCCGTGCGGGTGCGAGCCCACCGCGCACCGGGGGTAGACCCGTCGCGGCGGCGGCTGGACCGCCGTGATCTACGACAAGAGGGACCGTGCCTTCCCGAGCTTAGTGAGGAGCCGGAGGAGGGGGAGGGCGAGCCGAGAACGATAGAGAGGCCGCGGATGCGGGCGCGACTCGCCGACCAGGGAGAGCCGGCCCGACCTCCCGGGGAGGGGTGGCGACGAGACACGATGCCGCCGCCCTCGCCCGGGGAGGCCCCGCCCGGGCTGTCAGCTCCCTCGGAGCCAATGGGGCTAGCCGGCGGAGGTGGGGCGGGGGGGCCGCCTCCGAAGAAGAGACATCAAAAACGAGTTCAGAGGCAGTGGGGCGACGCCCGAAAAGCGAGCAAGAGACCGAACCAGACCGAAGATTCGCCCTGATGGGTGCGGGACGAGGCCCCCGCGCCGGGGAGCCGCCGCGCAGCCGGGCAGTGTACACGTTAAGTAGTCGTGTGTGTACGTGACGGCTGACGGGTGGTGTCCGGTAGTGTCCGTGACCGTGTCCACTAGCTCCGAGTAGAGGGGGCGTTCTGCAGTTAAGGGGAAACCCGGTACACGGAGCCCTCTCGGAGACCCGTGTTTACTTTACGGCCCTTTCCCCGGGAACGCGCACCCCCTGGGCTAGGGCTCTCTTGCCCGCAACCCGATACCGATCATCCGGCCCGCTGGGTGCGCTTCTTATAGCTCCCCGGCCCTGGGGATGTGAGGTTAATGACTGCACTCCAAGTGTAGGCCGGTCGCTCCCCCGTCTTTAGACCCTGTTGAGTCGTTCCGGAACTTGAAGTTGACGCATCACAAAGAACCCAAATCCGACCCTGCCAACCGAGCAAGCCCATGGGGGACGCGAGGTCTTGCTCCACCTTCTCGGCGCTCGCGTCGCCCAACCTGAGAGCCTCAGCCGCCATGCCGGGGCACATCTTGACCGGAGCGACTCAACAGGTGGTGGCGCGGAGCCACGGCGAAGGACGCAAGCGCCGACGTGCCGACGGCGCCGAAGAGAAGCACAGCTTTCAGCAGCATCGCACAGCCGAGATCAGTTGTGCCACAAAAAGAAGTTTATACTCCCAGTGTCGTGCAAAAAAGAAATCAATGAGCTTCTAAGCCGCGCGTGGACACTAGAGGAGCCGGGGCCCGGTTTCCGCAGTGCTCTGCGCGGCGCATGGTGCCTCCGGACATTCGACTTGGACATTCGTCGGTCGACTTAGGTCGCCTTTTCCTTGAATACCCCTGAATGAAGGAACTTCCGCGCCCCAACCTACTAACCTATCACAACGCACCTCGTGCACGGCCTACTCCACTCCCGCGCCGTCCCGCGCCGTCCTCACTTGAGCGTGCTGAGGTACGCCACCACGTCCACTCGGTCCTTCTCCTTCTTGAAGCCCGGGAAGGCCATCGAGGTGCCCTTGACCACCTCCTTTGGCTTGGCCAGGAAAGAGAGCATCGTCTCCTCAGTCCAGGTCGAGTTGAAGCTCGACATCGCCTTGGTGTACTTGTACTGCGGTTGGCGATACGGGGCGTGAGCGGACGCGCGGACGGAAGCGAGCAGGGGGCAGGGGACCGCCGGGCTGGGGCGCGGCTGGCGGCGGCACCGCTTTGTCGTGCGCCGTCTGCGCGCCGATGATGCTGTAGAGGTTGGGGCCCTGCTTGCTGGGTCCGCCCTCGTTGCAAGTGTGACACGCGGCGCACTTCGCCTTGAACAGGGTGGCTCCCCTCGCGGTGTCGGCAGGCTCTGCCGGCGCACTCGCCGCCGCCGGCGCGTCTTTTGCCGTCGTCTCTGGAGCCTTGGCCGCCTTGTCGGGCGGCTTCTCGGTCTTCTTCTTCTTCTTCGGCTTGGACGCTGCTGGCGGCGCGGCGGCCGGCTGGGACTCGCCATTCTCCTTGTCCCACTCTTGCGAGGCATGCAGCCGGGCCTCATCGTGCAGCTTAGCGAGGAGAACCTCCTGGCGCATCCTCGCCTGCCGCGCTCGGATCAGGGCCTCGGTGTCCTGGCCAATACCCGTGGCGCCCGAGGCAGCCGCAGAGACCACACCGCCCATGGCCCC